TGTGGCTGCGGGGGGTGCTGGGGGTCCCCGGGAGGTTCTCCCGGCCCGGTTGGGTGGCGCAGCTCTGGCTGCGGGTCGGGGAGCTGGGCACGGCCCTGGCACTGCTGGTGGCCGCCACCGAGCCGCTGTGCTGCCGGTGCCGCCAGCGCAGCCCCGCCGGCCATTCCTGCTGGGCCAAGGCGCTGCGGTACTTCTGTGCCAGCCGCAAAGCCGAGGCACCCGAGTACCCCAACAACTGCTACGACTGGGCCGGCGGTGGCACCGGGGGCACCGGCCCCGAGCGGGCACCCAGCGGCGACATCTCCAAGAGCCTCATCCGCAACCCGGCAGAGCAGCTGCCCCTGCGGGCCCTCAAGGACAGCAACGAGGCCTGGGCGGCCGCCGGCGGGCTCAGCCCCAAGTGCCCCAACGTCTTGGCCGCCCGCTCCTCCGCTGCCTTCCAGCAGGGCTCGTCCCCCTCGCTGGGGGAGCTCGTCTTCCGCCCGCCATCCCCCATCGACCTGCGCCGCAGCATCGACCAGGCGCTCTGCCGCCGCCATCTCCTGCACAACGGCCTCTTCGGCCAGCCCCGCCGCGGCTCCGGCACCTCGCTGCATGACTCCCCCCCGACCCCCGCCACCACCCCCAGCCTGGGGCGCATGGTGAGGTGCAGCTCGCTGACGGAGCTGCCCGCCTCCCGCCAGCCCCCCGCCGGCACTGTCACCCTCACCGTCACCGCCTCAGCCAGCTCGCTGGAGAGCAGCTCCCTGAAGATCAGCTGGAACCCCTGGCGCCATGGGCTCTCCTCGCCCGACAGCCTGCCCCTGGACGAGGCGCCCAGCCGGGCGCCCCTCCTGATGCCCACTGTGCCCCCCGCCTGGGAGCGGGAGGGTCCCCGCAGCTTCCCAGCCCTCAGCAAGGCGTCGGACACCCGCAGCCTCTCCAGCGACACCATTGAGCTCTGAGCTGGGGAGACGCAGCGAGGACGGGCAGAGACTGGGGGGGGTGCAGGGGGACCAGCCCAGCGTGGGGGGGTCCGGGGGGGGCCTGATCCCACACCCCTACAGGGCCGGGAAGGAGCAGGGAGCTGGGCTGGGCCAGCTCCATTTGTGCCAAACCAGAGAAATAAAAGTTTATGTTGGGAGGAGGTGGACCCAGTGGCGTGAGGAGGCAGCAGCATCCCCAGTGCCCCCCACCCCCGGCTTGCCCCCCCCATGCCCCGAGCAGCCGAGCTGGGTGTGCAGAGCTTTATTTCCTGAGATATGGACACACGGACAGATGGGCACACCCCGACGGACAAACCACGGACAAATGCAACGGCCACGCTCATGCATCCAGCAGGGCCCCCCCTGGCCAGCACGGTGCCCCCGAGAGCTGCCCCTGCCCCATGGGAGCCCCCACCCCACCCCCCAACCTGGAGGGGAGAGATGGGCTCTGCCCAGGGATGCGGGGGGGAGCAGCTCTCCCAGCCCCACAACTCAGGGCAGAGGGGGGACCCAGCCCCCCACTGCCCAATGGGGAATGGTCTCACGGGGGGGACACACAAGGTCCTGCGGTGCCAGCAGGGCTGAGCTCTGCCAGCATCACTGCCCTGGGACCAGTGGTGCCAGAGCACCCCCACAGTGCCAGGCCTCTCCAGAGCACCAGGGGCTGAGGGCAGCATGCTGTGCCCCCCGCCCCAAAGTGCATTAGTGCTCGGCATCACTACACTGGCCGGAGGGGGCTGTGCAGCCCCCTGGGTACCAGGCACCCCCAGCTCATTCTGCAGGGGTCAGGGGGGAGACCCTACGCTAACGGAGGGCTGGGGGACACATGCAGGGCACAGCACCATGCGCAGGATCCGGCCTCGGCAGCCAGCCCCTGCTGGGGGGGTACCCTGCACTCCAGGCTAAGCCTACCCCCCTGCCCATGCCCGGCAGCCCCAGAGCTATCTGCCCTTCATGAAGCCATCGAGGACACGGTCGCTGCGGTCGGAGAGCCAGTAGCCGGCCATGGCAGCCACGGCGCCGATGAAGATGGCGGTGAAGACCATGTCACCCTTGGCAGCCAGTGTGGCGAGGGCACAGATCATCACACCGAAGAACATCTGCTGCAGCACCACCACCTCGTCATCCGTCACGTCGTCAAAGAAGCCCTTCTCTGGGGCATCTGCAAGGATGGTGCTCGCAGGGGCAACGGCGGAGGAGGCAGAGCCCCCTGCCACCACCTGCCACCCCCCTGCCCCACACCGTGTGGCCCCCCCTCACCGCGTCAGGCCATACCAGGGGGCTTGTCCTCCACGCACTGCCCGTCCCGCCGGACGTGGCCGCGGGCGCAGACGCAGCGGTAGCTGCCCTCCGTGTTCTCACACACCTCCTGCACCCCCGTGCACACCGGCTCCTCGGCGCTGGCACACTCGTCCACATCTGTGGGGGGCAGACAGGGCTCAGGCAGGGCTCAGGCAGCGGGGAGGGGGCAGAGCTGCCCCCCCCAGCCTGCAGAAGCCACTCACCCAGGCACTTGGCTCCATCCCGCCAGTAGCCCTTGTTGCATTTCTTGCAGCGAGCCGGCCCGGCACCCATGCAGCCGATGCAGGCTGTGGAACAGTCTGCCATGGGGAGAGAAGCTGGGGTCACCGCTGGAGCCCCCTCCCAACCCAGCCAGCAGCAGCTTGGGCAGGGGGGATACAGCCCCAAGTACGGGGGAGTCACCTGCCCAGAACCCCCCCCCAACCTCTGTCTGACCTCGACACTCGTAGGAGCCCTCCGTGTTTACGCAGAACTGGTTGGCTCGGCAGTGCGCCATCTCTGTGCCACACTCATCGATGTCTGGGGAAGAGGAGGTGTGTGTGGGACGGGGGAGAAGGGGGGATGGCCCTGCTGAGCCCCAGCTCCTGGGAGACACAGTCCTCCCCGCGGCCCCGAGCCCGTCTGCTGTCCCCCCGGTCCCCCCTCACCGATGCAGCGGTGCTCATGCAGCACCCAGCCCCTCTTGCAGCGAAGGCAGCTGGAGTCCTCCGGTCCTGTGCAGCGCCCGCAGGCCCGGTAGCACTCTGCAGGTGTGGGGGGGGGGCCAGCATGGGTGCAGGCAGAGGGGAGGGAGCTGCCTGCACCCGGTGCCAGGCCAGCCCCCTGGCCGCACAGCCCCCCCTCCCCGCCGGGCCAGACCCCTACCTACCGGCACATACCAGGTGGCTCTTGTTCCGCGAGGCTTCGTAGTAGCCATCACCGCACTCGGCGCAGAAGGGGCCGCCATAGCCGGGGCTGCAGACGCACAGGCCGGTGCCGCGGCGCGTGCCGTCACCGTCGCATCGCCCATTGCCGCTGCAAGGCTGCTGGGGCCCACCGGCGCAGGCTGTAGGGGGAGAGACCAGCCGGCTGGCAGCCTGGGTGGAAGGTGGGGAGGAAGGGGGGGCGCAGCATGGCCGGGGGGGCCTCTCCAGCCCCGGGGCAGCACCCCACTGGCACCCCGTCATGCCACAGCTACTCACGCCGGCAGTCGGGGCCGTAGGTGCCAGGCGGGCAGCAGAGTGCCAGCCTGTCTATGCACAGCCATTGGAAGAAGTCGGGGTGCTGCTGCCGCCTGAGGAGGAAGGTGGGACACACACACACACAGTGCTCAGCCCCCTGCCAGCCACGTGTCCCCCACCCTGTCCCCATCCTCCCCCCAGACTCACTCATGGAACCACCATTGCTCCACATGCTCCTCGCTCCGCTCCAGCAGCTGGTGGCAGGTGAAGTCCGAGGGGGCACAGACGCCCTCCAGCACCTCCAGCAGACGGGTCTCGCTGTAGGAACAGAGGGGGTCAGTGTGGGGAGCAGCTACTGACGCCCCCCCACCACCACCCTCTGCCCCAGACTCCCCCCAGCCACAGGGCACCCACCTGTGTTGGTACTTGGCCAGCTTCTCCTCCTCCCAGGCCGTGTTGCCCCCGCCGAATCCCTCATGCTCTGTCCGTTCCAGGCCCTGGGCACGCGGGGGGGGGCAGCGCAGGCATGGGATTCCACGTGACCCCCCCAGCACCCATCGGTTCCCCCAGATCCTAAGATCGG